CATCCTGACTTGAGCAAGTGGCTTCCACCTGCACACCAGGCCTTTTTTGGAATACAGTCCCTAAAATCACAGGAGGTTGGAAAAGACTCCTAAGGTTGAGCCCAACCATTAACCAACCCAAGTTCACCACCAAACCACATCTCCCAGTCCCACATCCACCTGTTTCTGTGATCTCCTCCAGGGATGGTGATTCCACCTGCTCCAGTGCCTGACCAACCTTTCCAGGGAGAGATTTTTCCTGATATCCAACCTAAACTTCTTCTGGAGCAACCTGAGAAACAACTGGAAGAACACTGGATCAAACCTCTCCGTGAAGACATGTGGATATATCTGATGCAGGTATATATCTATTTCTTATCTAACTTTACATCATGTTTTTCCAAAAAAAAAAAAAAGAACTTTTTTTTGATGGGAAAGCAAAGAAACCACATTTCTTGAGGTGCTACAGCTATTTCTGCTCTTTAATCCAGGGATGGCAATCAATCTTGTGGTGGGATTGCTCCTCTAGTGAGCTGATAATAATGGATAAAGAGATAATGGATAAAGAGATGCTGTGATTCCTGAAGATTTCCTAACAACTCTTGTGGTCACTTGTTCCGTGTGTTCTTGTTTACCTGATTTCTACACTTCACAATCAATAAGACCCATGTCTTGGTATTTTCCTGGCTCCTTTCTGCTGTTTCAGAGCTGGAATTTCTCCCAGTGCACTTAAAAAAATCGGCTTTTTCAAAAGCCCTTCCTTGAAGTGAGAGGTGAGAAGTTACTGTTTAAGAGCAGGTTTAAATTCCAAGTGAAAAATGCTTTACTGGTGTACAGCAACCTGAGAACTTGCAATATCTTCAGCTGCTATTTCAGTCTGTTCTCAGAGACTTTAGGCTTCATCTTGGAACATCCCTGGAGATTTGGGAAAGCAAATATAGCAAATGCCAGTCTGCTCTTTATAAATGGAGAGTAGAAATATGTTTCAAACCCAGAAGTTAATCTGGCAGTATCAGGAAAAGCTACATTTAACACAGTCTGGGTGATTTTTTTTTTTTCAATGACAGCTCTTGATCAGATCATTTCACTATTAATTTTGACTGGGTTGAGCGAATATTCTTTAATTTTGGTGAAAACTCTGTGTGGTTTTACACATTCCATGACATCTTTCCCAAGGGTTGCAGGTATTATAAACATCTGATTTCTTTCTGGATAGTTCAGTGGCTTTATTAGTTCAGAATCAGCTGATTTTAGAACAAGGTAAAGGGAATAAATGCACACTCCAATTTTTGCCAATGATTATACTCTCCTTGGCCTCTTGTCATCCTATTTCTCACCCATCAAATTTCAAGGACTTTAAAGCAATGTATTAAAAACCCATGAAAATACGTGTAGAATTGTTCTGTATTCCAGCAGATCCCTTTGGAAGATGAATCCACATGTAGGGCTCTGAATTTGGGCATTAAATCACCAGGTTCATGTTGAGTTGTGCAGTAAATTTGAGTCTTCCATCACCTTGGAGGATTTCAAAACTTACTGCAAACAATGAAATAATCACCATGAGTGGAGTTTCACGTGCCCCTTGCCCGTCCCATCACTGAGATGTGAGTGAAAGCAGGACACAAAGAACTGATTGTCTTTCCCCTTGAGCTGCCTTTGCAAAGGGATTAATCTGATTTCTTTCACTGGATCTCTGAGTTCCACTCAAAGACATCCTGTGTTTGGAGAGGAATGTAAATCTGTGGAATAAATCTCATTCTGGTGTCTCCTCCCAGCAAAATCAACTCACCAACTTATATTTAGCAGAGGGAGATGCTGCTGAAGTAGGGAAACAAATCTGTCTGGGCTTTCAGGGGGGCTTGGTAATGATGAAAACCGATGCCTTGAATGCATTTTTGTTCTTGGTTTTGTGCTCTCTGGCTTTATAAACCCTCGAAAATTGCTATAAATACAGCTGGGCACAACGCAGCATAACCAGAGGAAAGCATCAAACTGTCCTCTGTATTTCACAGTTCTATACATTTCATTGAAATGCCTGTTTAAAATATGGATTGCTCCTTGCATTTCTGTGATCTCCCAAACATGACAGGCAGAAGAACAAGGGGCTGTGAGGGATTGTCATTCAGATCTGGAGTGTCACCAGTCTGAGAGAGAGGAGCCCAACGGGGTGAAAACAAACGTTCAGCTGCATAAAAAGAAGTAACGGAGTGAAGACAAATATTCAGCAGCATAAAGAGGAGTGTTTTGACCCCTTCATGTGTCAGTCATTCCTGCTGTCCGTGGTACAGGAACACACCTGACAAAAGGCTGAGTTTTATTGTTCCTTTCAGGTGCCCCTAAATAACCCTTGTTGTTACAGCTGCCAACACTCCCCTGATAAAACGTGTCTGGACTCTGTTAATCATCCCTTCTCTGGAGTCAGAGAAGTGAGCAGACAGTTCATCTTTTCTGAAGGGGATAGAATAGAACTTAAAGCCTCTGAGTGTTGGGAAACTGTTGGGGTTGGGAAGCTGTTCCACACCCGGTTTGTGTGATATCCCAAATTAGAGCACCACAGAATACGCTGAGTTGGAAGGGACCCAAAAAGGTAATGGAATAAGGGACAGATATTCTGGAATATTTGATAAACTGAGCAACCTTCTGGAATTAAGTGGGACATTCAGTCTAGAAAATAAAGGATATAACCCCCTCTGGACATGTAACCCCTGTAAATCTTGATCCTAAAGATTAAGAAACTTCTTGCCTTCTGTGGGCAGAGCTGTCCTGAGGCCCCACTGAACACAGGGATTTTGAACACAGGCACAAATGAAAAATGTATTCAAATGATGGATTAAAACTTTATCCCCCCATCTCCATCAAGGTTCCCCTTTGCCTCTCTGCTTATTTCCTGAAATTTAAATAAAATTCTGTGCCCTGCTCTGTGGGACAATTTACCCTTTGAGGCCACTTCTCCTTGGTGGTTTTGACATTCAAGGCAAGAATTGGACCTTTCTGAGGATTGGAACACATCAACTGAATTAGATAAAGGTTTTATTAATCCTCTCAGGCAGGTTTCAGGAGCCCCTTCAATTGGCAGAAGAGATGAGGAGGAAGAAGCTTTACCTGCAGGTGCAATTTCTGTGATTGGGATGAAGGAGAAAATAAATGACAACCTCTGGTTGTCCTCTGGCAGCACCAACAAGGAGTGTTTGCATTTCCTCCACCAGGAAAGACTCAGGAGAAGGATATTTATTAAGTAATATCGACTTATCCCATGAAACCTTTTATTTTCCTTGAGAAACTTCTTTAATCTCACTTCAGCAATTGCATTATCTAATGCTGGAGCTGGTTTTCCTAGAAAATACAGTTGATATTTATTATGGATTTTAAGTTGCATGTGCTGTTGTTTCTCCAGATTTTCCTCCTGGCCACCTGCCTTTTTTTTGATTCCACATATCTTTGTGAAATCTTAAAAAAATATCCCCAAAACAATAATTCTGTAGGTAAGTGATGATAGTTATAAAAAAATGACTTTGCTTTAGTTCCTGTCAATCCAGGAACATGTTGGATGCCTGACACTACCCTTAGATGTGTAGCTGGAATGGTGACATCCACATGGATTCTCCAAACCTTTAACTCGCAAACTGATTTCTCCTGTGGTGATTCCCAGTGATTTAAAATACACTTTGGTGGGTTTAATTGTTTTTGGTTAAGATCTGAAATTATGAACTCTTCCGATGCAAAATTTAATTTAATATCGTTGCTGAAAATGGCTTCTATTCTTTAAAATGCCCCCAAAAATTATAATTAGGTGCTACAAATGGCCTGAGCAAGAGACAACCCTGTGCTGGATAAAAAAATGAGAGGGAAAATCATTGGCCAAGCACAAATCAGTGTCCCAAGGCCTCGTGTTGGACTCACAGTGTCGTTCACAGCGACGTGTCCACTTTTCTCCCAGTGAAAGTTGCTACTGAGAGTATTTTAATCCTTTCTCCTCTGATCCTTGGGCACACACAAAGAGATTACTGCAGTCCTTTAAAAGACAGCTTTTCCTCTCACTTCCATGGGTTTTCTTTCCACTCCCATGTAAAAAAACCGCAATATTTTAGCACGGATCAGACCAGTGTGGAAACACTTCATGGAATTCCCTTCTCTGAGCAAAGGGAACTGTTTGAAACAGCTGATGCTCTGATCTGATTTGCAGATGAGAGAGGGATAAACAGGCACTTCCCAGCATTTTGCCCACATTCTTACTTGCAAGAATAAGTCATTGTGTGTAAACCGTGGATCTACTGGTTAGTGGATTATATTTGCATAAATAACAGAGAAAAATGACTGTTTATCTGGTTTCCTACTCCCCTACTTCCACAAAGCCACACTGAATCTCAGTGCATGCCTGATTTAAAAAAATCAATAAGTGTTATGGAGCAATTAAAATAATTAGAGTTATTGTTTTAAATAGGAGAAACACTTGTGAATATTGCCCAGGTATCCATAAATAACAATATTAAGTGAACAACAGCCTGTTTTCCTGTATAATGCTCTGTTTGTTGTCCTGTATCTGCTGTTATAAATCATGCAGGATGTTCCTCCAGCTCCTCAGATACTCAGAAGCAGCTTTTGCCAGGTCAGGAGTTCAGGAATTTGCTGTTTGCCCAAAACATCTGGTTTACATGCTCACCTTCACCCCAGGTGAGCGATGGCACGGGGAAAAAACATCATTATCTTTGGAACAGTGCTTGGTTATTTGTACAGGAGCCGTGGCCTTATTGAAAAAACATGAATATTGCCAACTGCAGGCAGTTGGAAGGGATGGAATGGCACAAAAAAACCCACGTTTGTGGAAATAAAAACTTAAAGAATGAATTCCAGCAACTTTCTTCTGTGCAGGAGGCAGAGGGAAGGCGAGGGATGGAGTGCAAAGGGTGAGACTGTTGCAGTGGAATAATCTGAAGGCTTTAAAGGAGAGGCTGTAAAAGCAGAATTTGAAGGAAGGGAAAGGAAGGGAAGGATTTCCGTTGTAGAAACTTGTGGAAAATGGGGTTATTTCAGCACAGGCACTCGTAGAAAAGAGAAATGTTTGCAGAGGGAAGGGGCTGATGGAACATTTCCAGCATGGCTGTGTGACAGGAGGAGACGTGAAGCTGCTGCCCCCCATGGAGTGCATCCATGGTGCTCCATGGCCATGGGCAGTGGGAATCACTTGTAGGGAAGGGATTATGGTGGGAGTAAGGCCAAAGGTTTGGAACTCTGAGAAACCTGCCTTAAAATGCATAAGTTTGTCTTTTGAGGACAGTTATTTCCCCCAGATTTCTCTCGTTCCCAGTGTGAGCTGCTCTGCAGGAAGAGTCCAGGCATTGTTATATTGCAGTGGAACAGAAGAGCTGCCACGTGTCAAAAAAGACCCTTTGGTTCCCTTTTATGTTCACAGCAATGGCAATTTGGCCTTTTTGGGTCGATGTGGCTGTTCAAGCTGATGAAGGGATGGGAATGTTGCTCTGACCCCCTCCCACATACACATCCCAAATCAGATTTCTTGGAAGTTTGCTATTCTCTGCATATGTTGTATCAGCCGTGTCCAAAACCTTCCCCATATTTATATTCCTTTGTTCTGGTCTGTGTTGCCTCTGTGAGGCTTCTGTCACACAAGAGACCTGGCTCTGGGATGTCCAGGAAAACTTCTTTCATCTTGACTTGGGGAGGAAAGGATGGAAGAGAGCAGCAGGGCAGGAAGAAGCTTTGACTCAAAGCAAAGGTGAGGCTTTGCTTTCTAACTGCTGAAACAATTAATTGCTTTTATCTTTACAATCAGACCTTCAAATTTCATTTTGGCTCGAGCAAAACAACCCAGGCTATCAGCACACGTTATCTTTTAAGTCTCATTTCTTGATATCCTTGTATTTCTTTATTCATTTCCTGTGATTTCATGGCACAGCAGAGCAATGGAGAAAGTGCTCTTAATGGCAGCTTTCATCGAGCTTAATGTCTTTGTACTAAATTCAATTTAGGACTTACAACACTTTCAGCATTTTACAACCAGGCTTTCATATTGTAGCAAACTTGTCCTTTTGGTAATACAGGTATTTCCCTTGTTAGCTCGAGCCTGTGGTTTTTATGTTTTGATATAATGAATCGGTCTAAAGGCCGGAAATGCTGTTTTCAGGTTCCCCTTCAGTTGCTGACCGAGGAATAAATTTACTGGTGTGCAAAATGTAAAACAAGAATGTAATAGAAAAGGTTTGAATTCTCAGGAGTGGAGAAGTGTGGCACTGCAGCCTCGTGCCTGATTTTCACAGGTCTCAGATGATCTGTGGCAAACTCTAAACGGGAATAATGCAGATAATGGGCACTTGGATTCTTTTTATTCCAAATTTCTAAGGTTGTAAAATCCAAACTGCTTTTTACACAATATTTGTGCCAGTGTCTGACGTGATATAAGGAAGGAATGGGAGGAGATGTGATCACCCAGGTTTGAACAGGAGGCTCTGCTGCAGTTCCCAATTATTAAATGAACACAAAGATATAGGAATAATATCTTGAAAACTGCAGTGTGTCCATTACTTGTGTCACAGAGTATTTCCTTCAGTATTCCAACTACACCTTTCAGGAACTGACTTTAAGATGACAATCCATCTCCAGAATTTAGGGGGAAAAAATCAGAAGAAGATGAATCAGAAGTTCATAATTTGGCAAAGAGGAAAAGATCAGGTTTAGAAAGAATAAATCCCGCTTTTCTCCCATTTCCCACCCCCCAAAACATCACTTACTCTTCAATAAACAAAAACTAGACTAGGAAAGCCTCTTAGCCTGGTGAATAATTTCAGTATTAAAGTGTAACTGTGCTTTCAATTAATTTTTATTCCGTGGTTGGAAAAATCTTGTGGACTGATTCTCATGGGAATTTTCTCAGAGTTCCAGTCTCCAGGATCCTTTATCATGGATTTCTCTCCACTCTTCAGCAGCAGTTGGGCTGCAGTGAGTCAATGTGTTCACAGTTGGATGGGTGTGGGCAGCAGGAATTGCAGGAACTGGGATGTGGGATGGACAGACTGGATGTGAAAACACACACATCAAAAAAAAAGGTCTGGGAAGGGACTACAGAACTCCACAGTTGCTCCTCGTAGACCAAAACACAGATTTTACACCAAACTTCACAAATGTACCAGCTGGCACATCGCTGCAGAAACAAAGATTCCCACCAGGAGAGGTT